GGCGCCGCTGCTTTTGGTTGGAGGCACAGCTGGAGCCGTGCTTCCGATCCAGCTGAACCCGTGGTGCGGGAGCGACCCCGCTGCCTGCCAGCGCTCTGCTTCCTCCATTCCGCGGCGCACATGCTATGCCCTCCTAAGCGGGGAATTGTGCTTCTGTTCCTTTCTGCTGTCTGTGGTCCAATGATTTACTGTTGTGCTAGAAGTGATTCCTCTGCATTTCCACGCCATGACTGTCCTCCCACACTCTATTTATTTATTTCACTCTTCGGTTTGGTCCTTTATCTCAGATTGCTTTCCTTTCCCCGAGGTGCATTCACAGTAACCAAGTTCCCGTTTTGAAGGATCTTGTAGCTGCTAATTACAGTCATTTATTGTTTATATTTTGCAGCATTTTTTTAAACAGACAAAATAGGATTTATTTGGACCTGCAACGTTTGAGAGCCTATGGACTACTGTTCTCCATAATGGTTCATGACACTAAAAACCTCTGCCCAACTTTGTCACCTCTTCTCTTATCTCTGTTTCTTTGTACAGTTTGATAGTTTATTTGAAATGATGCACTAAGAATCATGTAAAAAAGATTAACAATAAAGCTGAACCTGTTGGTAAAGAGAATCGGTCTGAAGTACAGTTCCGCTGTGTGCTGGATCGGTCCCAGATTTCATGGCAATAGGTGGCCGGGCGGATGCAGATTTCCACCAGCATCCGCCGCGTGAAAGCCAGTTCCCTATGGGCAGAGAGCACCAGAAAATGGCAATGCCTTTCCACAAGAGGGGCACCGGCCCGCCCATCCTCCTCCATGCCGAAAGCACTGGCCTGCCCATGCTTTGGATGGGTGGCTCGCCCATGGAGCCGGTGTGCACAAATGGGCTTTGGGAACACATTCAGGTGACTCTTCCCGCTGTCTGGTACCTCCCAGGTCTGTCCATCCATGTGCAGCCCAGGGGTTTACAGGAGGAGAAAGATACCAACATCTGCATTGGTGGTTGGAGATGTCCTGGGAACTGTTTCCGGGGGAGCCCATGGCTATGCCGAGTGTCGCGGCTGTTCCTCCAGGGCATCATGTGCTGCCCTGTGTCAGGTACTGCACAGACATCCCTTGCTCTGAAGACCTCCGTGCTGCTGCTGCTCATACAAAGTTCCCAATGCCCAGACTCACTCAGTGGAAGCCTGGGGGAAAGCCAGGCCCTGCTCTTGCTCTCCAAGTCGCAGGTAATATTTTGTACCTCAGCCTGTCCTTTCTGACCATCCCCCCCAGCAGACAGTGACACCTTCAGTGCATTTGAGGAAGCCACCAAGAACAGCTCAGTCCCCAGTGCTGAAGGTGCCAGGCTGCCACCCTCAGTCGGGAGAAAGTTGCAGGGAAAAGCAGGATCTTGCAAAATCTCCTCTGGGCACCAGGCAAGGGCCTCAGAGCCGTGAGACACCCCCCAATGGATGTGGAGGGGGGTGGCAGCCGGCATTAAGCAGCAAGACAGCTAAGAGACTTAAACTTGCATTTATTGACAACCAGCAGCTCGCCCTGATGCACAAATACTGATCCCGGCGTGTATGCATGTGCAGGTGTGGTGAGCATCTTACCCACAAGAGTCATAGAATCACAGAATCACAGAATCATTTGGGTTGGCAAAGCCCTTTAAGCTCCCCCAGCCCAACCGCTCCCCTACCCCTGCCATCCCACCCCCAAACCCTGGCCCTCAGCACCGCCTCTGCCTGGCTGTTAAATCCCCCCAGGGCTGGGGACTCGACCCCTTCCCTGGGCAGCCCCTTCCAGCCCCTGACAGCCCCAAGGGGAAGGAATTGTTCCCCATGCCCAACCTCACCCTGCCCTGGCACAACTTGAGGCCGGTGCCCCTCGTCCCATCGCCCCTTCCCTGGGAGCAGAGCCCGACCCCCCCGGCTCCCCCAGCCGCTCCCCAGCAGCCTGGGGCTCCAAAGACAGCACTGAGAACACCCCAAAATGCCTTGTTTGACAAACCCGCAGCCTCAGCTTGTGGCCAGAAAGAAAAAGCCTTTTTAATCCTTCTTTCCCTCCCTGGACGTGAAGGGCTCAGCCACCCACCACTAAGAGAGAAGAAGAGCATCTCAGAGGAATTAAGCAGCCACATCTTTTTCTCCTCCTGGAGGTACCGGAATGGAACCTCTGGCACAGCCCCAGCCTCCCGCATCCCCTGACGGTGCTGCTTCAGCCTGACCTCCCTGCCAGGCCCCTTCTCCGGGACACAGCCTGACACCAAATTCCTTTTAGAGTGACTTTTTTGGTGGGGAGGCTTTGCAATCCCAAAGCCAGGATCCGACGCTCCTCTCCTGCTCGTGCCGCCCCATCTGTGCCAGCACAGCGATTCCCTCCCCTCGGGAAGGGCAGCAAAGGCATCGTGCGTGTGGAGCAGAGCTGCCCGGAGGCTTTGGTGGCTCCCCCCACTTGTGAAAACTGCTGTACAATATTTATGGCCAAACCCTAGGAATACAGATGGCTGGAAATGGGGTGTGTGTGTCTGTGTGTCTAAAAATAAACCAGCCAGGGAAAAGGGGGAGAGATACAGGCTTTCTTCAGAGGCACTTGGAGAGAAAATTGAGGTAGTGTAACTGCCTCCAAATATAGAACACAATTATGGGAATCAAGGGGCATTTTGAGCAAATCACCACAAGAAATCACGAGGCTGCCACAGCTCAGAGCAGGCGGTGTCTCAGCAGATGCAGAGCATCACAGGTCCCTGCAAACCACGGAGCAGTGAAACACCCCCCGTGCAGGGCAGCACGGGGCCAACCCAGCTCCTTCCGAGGGTCCTGGAGAGCAGACGGTGGCGCTGGTGCCTGGCCTGGGTTGGCTGCACTGAGCACACCCCAGGGTTCGGCCACGCCACCGCGCTGCACCCCAGCCCAGAGCGTGGCCGCAGGAGCCCCAGGGGCTGCAGCCTTGTAATGCAGATGCTGCTGTGACAGCCCCAGGTGGACTTAGAATCAGGGAATGCTTTGGGTGGGAAGGAACCCCTAGAGGCCACCCAGCCCAACCCCCCTGCAGGAGCAGGGACACCTTGAACCACATCAGGTTGCTCACAGCCCCGTCCAACCTGGCCTGGAATGTTCCCAGGGATGGGGCCTCCACCCCCTCTC